TATAATGTACACTCAATACAAAAATAATGTACATCCCCTGAATATAATGTACATTATTTTTGTACTGAATGTACATTATTTTACATTATACAAATTATGATCTACACAACTTGTGTGGACCATGGTCCACACAATAATGATTGGTAAACCGTAGGCCTGAATCATTATTCGTGGCAAATTATATCGTGCACCACGGTGCATAATCGATTATGCTCCGAGCTTCAAAACGACATCGTTTTGTTTAATGAAAAGAAACGGCACCCTTTTCGTGCCGTTTCGCAAAAAGTAACTCTGTTATTCAGTTTCATTTTTTATACACTGCAGTTTCAATTCAACACAACTGCAGTTTTATTTCGATATAACTACAGTTTCATTCAACATTTATACACTCAAATATGTGAAAATGTTATTTAATTTTATTTTATATACACTATAGTTTCATTAAAACACAACTACATGATCATTTCGATATAACTACAGATTCATTGCATAATATACACTCAAATATGTGAAATATTATTCAGTTTCATTTTATATACACTGTAGTTTCATTTCACCACAACTACAGTATCATTTTGATATAACTGCAGTTTCATTTCACCACAACTACAGTATCATTTTGATTAACTGCAGTTTCATTTGATAATCTATAAAATAATACGTAAGGCAATGTCGGTTTAGATACACTGTAGTGTCAGTTTAGATACATTGTAGTTTCAGTTGGTAATTAACACACAAAAAAATGCGCGCTCCGTTAACCGTAACGGCACTCCGTTTCTTTACTTAAAGAAACGATGTCGTTTTGACTGCGGTGCACATGCATCGCGGTCCACGATATAACGAATGATTACTCGTTGCCCAATCATTATGATATGAACTATGAGTTGTTATACCATGGACTATGGTCTACCTTGCAAGGTGGACCCTAGTCTTAAACGACCTATAAATTGTGTATTTATAGTATGAAATTGTGAACTTTTAAAATATAAATTGTGTTTCTAAGTTAAAAAAAGTAATAATTGTAGAAGGAAATTTTTGAATACAATACAAGGTTATCAAATCCTAATATGTTTAATATTGTGTGACTGTAGTATTTGAAATGAACTTGTGAATACAAAACAATGTAATCAATTATATATATGTTAACATTGGTTGGCATGAATTGCATTAGCATTGAATTGCAATTCAATGAAATGATAAACTACATTGTTTGGTTGGAGGGAATTGTAATTGCATGGAATTACAATTCCCTCAATTCATTGAATTGCAATTCATAGGTCCCCCCTATGAATTGCAATTCAATGAATTCATCCATACAATGAAAAGGGAAAAGGAAGTAAATGACATACTTGCCCTTTGAATGTTATAATTAATATTATTATATAAGGGTATTTTAGTCTTTATATCACTTCTCCCATTTCCATTATTTCTCCCTACCAAACAATGTAAATGTAATTTCTACTTTATTCCCACCTTATTCTTTTCCCACCGAATTACAATTCCTTTCCCCCTTAATTCCTTCATTCCAACCAAACGTCCTGTTAGTATGTAAATTGTGTAGCTAAGTCAGAACAACATCAACATTCAAAATTGTTTTAAAAAATAAAAAAAAAATAAAAGTGATTTAAAAAAAAAAAGTAAGATGGCATCGTTTTGTAGGAAAACGACGCCGTTTTGGACCCGAGTCTACCTTACAAGGTGGACCCGGCTCCATAGAATAATATGCATGAACTATGGTCCATACAGTTGTGTGGATCACAAATAAAAGGTACATTTTTTGTATATATAAAGTACATTATTTTGAAAATATATTATTTGAGTATTGAAAGTATATTACTTTGTATACTATCAAATAATGTATATTTAGTACTTTTAGTATATTAAAATTGTATCATGTATTAATTGAAAGTACATTATTTGAATACTGAAAATATATTATTTTGTAAAATGTACATTCAGTATACAAATAATATATTTTTAGTATATTAAATATATATATATATATATATATATATATATATATATATATATATATATATATATATATATATATATATATATATATATATATTTTATAGTCCACATAACCCAGTGTGAACCATGGTCCATATAAAAATTTGCCCTCGTCAATCATTATTACATGGACCATGTCCACACAATTGTGTGGCCATAAATAAAAGGTACATTTTAAATATACTAAGGATGCATTATTTATGTACTTCAACTACATTTTTGAAAAGTACATTTTTAATATATTAAGAGTACATTATTTTATATAATGTACCTTCAGTACAAAACTATTGTACTTTTAATATATTAAAAATGTACCTGATGTTCATGGTCCACACAATTATGTGGATCATGGTCCACACAATAATTTGCCTCGGAAAATCAATTGGGGTCGACCTCGCATTATGGACTCAATTTCAAAACAATATCCAGATTATGTCTACAGTTAACATATTATGTATTTTAAGGTATTAAATTATGTGTTTATTATAAAGTTAATAAGTCGCCCCCGTTGGAAGTCAGACTTGTAACTTTTTGGTTACCAACTCAACAACCTCACCAATTTAGCTGGAATTACCCCACAAATAGGATAGATATGTATACATAATACTGAAGCGATTACAAATAGGATAGATAGAAAGGTATACCATTCCTTACAGTCAGACATGTAAACAACTTTCCTAGCAATGCTACAAAGAACTTGAATCGCAGAATGTTTCACAAATTTGAAGCTGAATTCATTAGATGAATTTAACGCTTCTTTAATATTATTGAAGAATTGATCAAATGTAGTCAAGACTAATTTTGGTTGAAAAGTCTTTTACACCACCTGAGTATATGTTTTCCATCTGTCGTTCATTGACAATATATCTATCGAGCTGAGATGAAGATGCACTTTTACATTGTCATCTTTGTCACCCAGGATGAAGTTCACATACGTCATGACCAACTTATATGTTTCACACTTATGAAGCAAAGAACTCGTCAAAAGAAACAAGAGGAAAACAAACTCGTCAAAAGAAACGAGAGGAAAACAAACTCGTCACAAAAACGAGAGAAAAACACAAGAAAAAATAGAACATGAAAGAAAAAGGAAGCAGCAGTACACCTCTTGAACTTTATTTTACGGATCCACGGGAATAAAACCACTTATTTATCCAGATTTGGCGGAATCCTTAAGCTTTAGATCCTTGGAACTACCGCAACTTCCTTGAAGGATTGGTGGCTGAATCGGTACTGGACTTTATTATGAAATTAAAAAAAAAAAAAAAAAAAAAAAAAAAGGAGATCGCCGGCTAAGAAACAAAGCTCCGTCAAAGACACAAAGCTTCGGCCAAAGGTCGTCGATCACCGGATGAAGAAACGCTAAAAAAAAAAAAAAAAAAAAGCAATGTTTTGTGAGACATAAAGAGAAATTTCGAGAGAATTAGGTTTCAAGAGTATTGCACCCCCTTCAAACTATATAGGTTTTGGTTTTCCGTTAAAAGGTTCAATATTGGTTTTAAGTTAATAGATTTTTATTTTGATTTTCGGTTAAAAGGTTCAATTGTATTAATTTGACAAATTCACTCAACTACATCAAATTCAAAGCGAACCGTTGAAGTAGTCAATTCGAATTTTTATTTTATTTTTATAAATTTAGTAGCCTGATTGTTGTTTCATGCATACTTTGAGGACTTATTAGATATTTTTTCGTTAAAAAAAAAAAAAAGAATTGATGAGGAGAAAACTAGTTATAAAGTTAGATATTCAATTAAAACAATGAGTAAAAGATATTTTTGGTCCTAAACTTATAGTGACACTGACAATTTTGGTCCTCCATAAAAAAAAAAAAAAAAAACAGACAATTTGTTGACATTGTTATTGTGACGAGGACAATTTTAGTCTTCCATCACTCTTCTCGTTAGATGCCCCGTTTTGAGAGGGGTATTTGTGTCTTTTCAATGTCCTTCTGAGCTATTAGAACGACATTGATTTCGCTTTCAAGCTTCCTTCCCCATTGCCCACTTGGCCTCTCAGGTCCTTTAATTTCTGCATATATATTCTCAACTTTCTTGATGAATATAATAACGTTAGTTGTCATTATTGTTCATTGTTAGACCATTCTTTAAGTTTGTTGTTTCTCAAATTAAAGTTCTGATCTTTGCAGTGTTTTTTGTATGTTATGTACAGGCGGTGAATTTGGGAGTGGATATATTGATCTGGGAGGGCTCCATGGTTGCCAGATTTCAGCTTTCGACGAGGTTTGGGTAACGTACGAAGGAGGGTCCGACAACCTGGAGGCGAAAATCTTTGAGCCATTGTCCATCGCACACGGTTTTTCCGTTCTGGGTTACTACAAGCAGCCCAACAACCAGCCGCTTTTCGGTTGGGTTTTGGTCGGAAAGGACAACAGTAGCGGCGGTGACGACATTCTCAAGCTGCCGAGTGATTGCGCTCTTGTATGGAGCAGTGAGACTCTGAAAATCAACCAAACTAGCCCCGCCTATATCTGGCTACCTGTTCCGCCGGAGAGTTACAAGGCAGTCGGCCACGTCAAATTTAATTTTATAAATCCAATTTTAAGAAATTCTAAAATAGTCATTTTTACTCTATTAAAAATTTTTGAGATAAATTTGGTGTTTGAATAAATTATTTTGAGTTACATTTTAAATGAATTCAACATCGGAACTTATTTTAATTCAAAAGTCCTAAATTCTCGGGTACATTGCGTACCAAGTTTCTGATCCGAAAGTCAATCTGAGTGAAACCGGGAGAAATCTGAGAAATCTAAATTAAGTGGTTGTGCAGATAGTATTTTTGGAAAAATGTATTTTTGACCCCAAAACTATTTAAAGCAATGATTCTAGATCTTAGTCCATGAAGCTTGGTGAACCACTACACTCCACCTCTCCTTGCCTGATACTTTTAGAAGCCAAGCCAAATTACCATTTTGCCCTCCACCAATCATTGTTGATTCACCTAGGGTTTTCAGCCACTATAAAATGAATAGTTAGTAGACATTTCTTCCTGATTTCATCATTGTCTTCCCACCAAGAACTCTGCAACAAAACCAAGAAGAAAACAGTAAGTTTCTTAGGCTTATCCTCATCCATTCATTCATTTCCATCTAGCTTACCTTCCTTAGCTTCCTATCTCTGAGGTTCTTGTTCTTAAGGGTTGTTGTGTGGTTTGTTTGAGGTGTCTATGAGGTGAAAGAGGTAGTGGCTAACTTGGGAAGAAGGAGGAATCCCAACAAGAAGAGGAAACAACAAAGGTATAACCCCATGGACTCCCAACTTAGTCTTGGCTCTGTGAAGCCACTGTGAAATAACTAGAAATGAGTAGAAATGCTAGAATGTTGTGTGTTTGAGCTATTGGATGTCTTGTTGATGTTGTATGATGTGTTGTTGTTGATTTGGAGGTGGTTATTTGTCTGGTTTGGCTTTACAGGTGAAGAAGGAGCCACTGGTGCACCTCTCAGTGTGTACCAGTGGAAGTCACGAGCCTAGCCAACGGCCCACAAGGAGAGCCGTTGGCTAGAGCCGCGACTAGACGACCCTTGGCAAGGGTCGTGGCCCTAGGCCGCCGCTGGACGGCTCCAGGCGGCGGAGCTTCCCTAGCCCCGCCGCTAGGACCGTTGCTGGCTACCTGTGCAGTGGCCGGGCCCTTGTGGCTCAGCTACGTGTCGATTCGGACCGGGTGTCACGGGCCCTTGTGGCTCGGTACCTTGGGATCGTCATGACGCACGTTTGGCCTTTGATTTCGTTGAATTTGGATTAGAAATGAGCATGTTATGATAGAAATTGCGATGAAGTGATTTACATTTTAATGTTATTTTGAGTTCATCAGACTTGCACTGCCTATGGGATTTGCTTGTTAATATCTTCCTGATGCTATTTGAGTATTAAATAGAGAAGCATGAACATTTTGTGAATGAGAATTGTTAGAAAAGCATGACTAAAGTGTGTATTATGTTCAATGGAAATTGTAGTCTGTTTCGATAGTAGAAATGTACAGAGTATGTTATTTTTCAATCCAAGCATGATTATGTGTTCTTTGGAAGTTCACAGTGATATCTAAAATTGGAGCATGTGTTTAGTAAATTAGATTTCCAAGCATACCATGTTTTATAAAGTGCATATATGGCCAACGTGAGCCTAAGTATTATTTTCCAAAATTCATGAGCATGCGGAATGTCATTACTTTGTTGCATTGAGAAGTTGTTGAGATGTGACATGCATAAGTTTGGTGCATGATATATATATATAAGTGAGGTTTTGGAGGACCCGTTGGGACTATGTCCTTTCGGATGATGTTGACCGGATATTGCGATCCGATGTTTTGTAACGCGGTGTATTCCCACGTTACGAGGTTGGAAACTGCCCGCCAGGCTTGGAATCCTAGTCAGGGGGTGTACATGCTAAAAGTTTGATACCTGATTCCACATAGTTGAGTTTAGAACCAAGAGAGTGGTTCGGTGGATGAGATTGAGCATAAATCGGCTAGAGGCCGTACCGGGATAAGTTCGTTCACGCTACGGTGAAGTTCCTACCTCATCCATTTGTAAATAAAGCGAGTAATTGCGACTCTAAGAAATGAAAGTAAGCGAGTCCTTGTGGCTCTAAGAAACCTCCACAGAAAAGTACTCTATTTACAACGAGAGTATATGTATACTTATAGCATTTCATTGCATTTGAGTATAGTGTTGCACGAGATTGCATAATGAGAATGTTTGCAGTAGATTGTATATCGAGAATGATTACCCGAGATTATATATTGAGTATGATTGCCTTAGTTGCATATTGAAGTTGATATCTCTTAATTGCATGTTGAGAACTTGATTGCATGAGATTGTTATGGAGTTATTCTATAGAGTTGAGTTTTGCTATGTTGATTATGTGTTAGTATGATTATGTTGTTAAGTTGTTTATTGATGAAGCATGTCTGTTGATATTATATGTTGCGAGCATATAGAAAGCTTGTGGTTTATCTTAAAGTTTATCTAAGTGATTGAATTGCTTAATTTGAGAATGCGAATAAATTTTTTTTTTCCAAAGTATATACTGTAGTATTTTACAGGGTTGAGTGTGGTTATACTTAGTTTCGTGCTAACGCGTGTTTTCTACTTGTCTACTTGTTGTTTTGCAAAACCCCTTTCAGGTGGGCCCAACATTTGAGAGTTGTTCGAGTTAGACTAGTGTAGTTGATCTAGTAGTCTAAACTCTTGTTTTATTTTATGGTGTTATAGATTATGGTTGTAGACTTTTGTTTTTTTATGTTTGGTGATAGACAGTTAGACACCGGGATACTTTTCCCCAAGTTACCTTAATTTAGTAATTTCGAATGTTAGTTTGACTTGATGATTTAGTTCTATCCTTAGCCTGTGCAATCACCGTGGGGAGGTGGTTGTGGCGGTGACATTCCCACTGATTTGTTAATTAAGTTTGATTTTCCACTGCTTGGTTTATCTTAAATTAGTTTTAGAACTGTAATTAAGTTTAAGAAAAGTGGGGTGTTACAACTGGAAAATCCCCCGACAGGCAAAATCAGGTGCGTCCGGGAAGATTCCACTGACAATTGTGAGGTTGAGAGCTGGGTTTGGGGACTGGGGAGCTCGAGCGACCCAAACTGCTTAAATGTCAACAGAGACCAATAAATAGAGACATAGAAGCCCAAGGCGTCCCTGTTGGGACATTCACAGCTAATCTCGGCTTATTAGAAATATACTATATACTATGTTGTCTTCCATGCCTAACCTCACTCAAGAAGGAGGTATGATGAAAAGATACAAATACTCCCTCTCAAACAGGGCATCTAACAGAAAGAGTGACGAATGATCAAAATTGTTCTCGTCACAATAAGAATGTCCATAAATTGTCTGATTTTATTATGGAGAACCAAAATTGTCCATGCCACTATTAAGTCTAGGATCAAAAAAGTCTTTTTACTCTAAAACAATGATCAGTTAGGATCAAAAATTTATTTTCAATTGATATGTGCCGTGTATAACTATTATTATATTATATCCATGCAACACAGGAGGGTAGACTAGCTAATGACATTGACAAAGGTACATAGACTATTCATATACATATATATAGAAATTAAAAATAAAAATAAAAAAAAAAAACAATAAAATGCTCTAAATGGATACAAGCACTACACATCTGAAACAAATAGTACTCCATCTAATTATTTTTTTGGGTATAATCCAAAATTTTCACCATTAAACATAGTAACTAATTCTCTCCTTGAATGATAGTCAATCTAGAGCTTAACTTTCCGCTTGCACTTTTGAGTTTGAATGCTCCTGGTAGTGATGTTCACAGTAACAGTGCAGTTCATCTTCACCACCACATATCTGCTTATGACCTTTAAGAATTTCATCCTCCCACCCACTCTGGTATAGCTATCCATTGTCAGTAATCCAGTGCTGATATCCCCGATCAAGCTAGGCTGGGAAAGGATCCGGTCCGTTACGATATCCACCGTTATGTTCATCCTCGACGTTCGCCTCCCCTTCGTCTTCCCGGGCGGAGCCCTCGCCTCGCCCACCACCGTGCCGCGGTACGACAGGCTGCTGCTGGTGTTGCTGTACCGGAAAGACGCCAGGTTTGGGTTCTTCACGGAGACGTCGGCGGTTAGGGTCACGTTGCTGCCCGGCTTCGGCGCCCCGTTTGCTAGCTCGAGATTCTGCACGGTCATGGCGTTCAGGCGGATGATGGGCTCCTTGACTCGAAAAATGGTGAAGATGAGAACGACGATGAGGGTGGCTAGAATGAGGAGGAGGGCGGCCAGGCAGGCGCCGCACTTCAGGCATCGCTTCCGCCGGAATTCCTTCTTTTGGGTATTCGAAACTGTTTCTAAATCGTCGCTGCTCAGCCGCTCCGACGCCGGAGCTAGTGGTCGCACTTGGTCTCTCTCCATCGTCTCTTCGGACGCGTTTTTTTGTGAAGGCAACACTTGTGCCGTTGTGCGTAGCTCATTCTATATTATATTGTCTGGTGGGGCTTAATCTCTTGCCAATATTGACTTAAGTGATACATTTCCCATTTTCCAAGCCAATTAATACTACTTTTGACTTTTTTTTTTTTAAAAAAATAAATTAGGTTTGCATTGTGGTACCATTTCAAATAGGTGCTCAGAAGATTAAATCTGATGGTGAAAACATTAATGTTTAGACTGTGAAAGTATAGAACAGATATTATTTGTAAAGAGTCACGCATGCCTGTTTTAAAAAACAATTGTATGGAATTTCATTAAAATTAATTCATTCCCACGACTGCACACTTCAAGCATTTTTGAATTAAACTTAATCAATTAAAGTTAATAATCAAGAATGAAAAATGAAAATAACACCGAAATAGAAAATTCACAAGTAAAATTAATACTTTATTTGTTTTTTAGCCTAGGACAAAAAGTTGTGCGTTGATTAAAAGGGGTTAAGTTTCGATTTTTTTTTTCGAATAAAAACATGAGTAATTGTATAGTTATATTTTTAATAGACAAATAAAAGAATATATTATTTTTAACAATAAAGTTTTACCTTTCAAAAAAAAAAACAATAAAGTTTTATGTGAAATTTTTTAATTATTATTGATGAAATTAATTAAACCGGGGGTCCGACTTAACTAACCCGAATAAGGATACGAATGATATAGTAAAGGCCGTGAGACCGTAGATTGTATTAAATGTCGTAGAATTGGCTATTACAGTAGTATTTTAGGACAAAGTATGTAGGAAAATGTAGAGCGTAGATAGCGTGTCCCTTGTTAGGACAAGGAGGGGGGCTTTTATACAAGCCAAGCCCCCAACCGCCTCCCCCTAAAACGGGGGGTTAGTTGGATCTGGAGTTGACCGCGCCCGATCGCGCCAGGCCGAGCTCATCATGGGCTCAGGCCGGGCCCATGTGGAGGTCGGCCCGGCCTCCTGGAGAGGCAGGCCCGGCCTCCAACGTGGCCCGTGCGGGGGTCACGTGGCGAGGCCTCGGCCGGGGCGGGTACGTGGCGCCGCCCCGGGATCCGTTCTTGCTTCGCGCCCTCGGGTCGGTTCGGGTCGATTCCCAATATATCCGTCATCAGTCCCCCACTCTCCGAGCTGCGAGTAATCGTCAGTGAAGGAGAGTAGATGCTCCGGCCGACCCCCCAAAATGCCGACCCCGAGATGTCCGCGTCCCAGGCTTATAGGTGACGTCAAAGTGCACTTCTTGTGATAATGATGAAAACTCCATCCGGAACATGACTCCTCCATCTGCTAGGACGCATACGCACCGCCGCGTCTCTGCCATGTCACTCCGTCACGGCGCCGGCGCGGTGGCGTCACCGTGACGCTAACACGGGGGTGGCCTGCAGGCCGCGCCTCCGTGGCCCCTCGGCCGACCTCCCGGGCTCAAGCCACGCCGGGGTCAGCCTCGGCGACGGTCGTCCCCCTCTGCCGAGGTCATGCCATCCTCCGGCGCCGAGGTCGTGCCAACCCCGGGGTCGGCCGACCTCGCGTGCCGACCTGCCACGCCGAGGTCGGGCTGACCTCGACCTCGGCCTAGGGCTGAGGTCCTCCAAACCGCCCCTGATTTTTTTTTTCGAGCCTAAGCACTCGGGCTCCTCCATCGGGGTTGGTATGCGAGGTCTGGCCTCGTGCCCCCTTAGGGTGCGATAGCCGCTCCGTCCTAGCTCGTTCGAGCTTAAGCACTCGGGCTCCTCCGTCGGGGTTGGTACGCGAGGTCCGGCCTCGTGCCCCCTTAGGGTGCGATAGCCGCTCCGTCCTGGCTCGTTCAAGCCTAGGCACTCGGGCTCCTTCGTTGGGGTTGGTACGCGAGGTCCGGCCTCGTGCCCCCTTAGGGTACGATAGCCGCTCCGTCCGGGCTCGTTCAAGCCTAGGAACTCGGGCTCCTCCGTCGGGGTTGGTACGCGAGGTCCGGCCTCGTACCCCCTTAGGGTACCTCAGCCACTCGAGCTAAGTCCTTCCGGACTATGCCACCGGGCTCTTCCGTCGGGGTTGGTACGCGAGGTCGGACCTCGTGCCCCCTTAGGGTGCGCCTAACCGCTTGGGCCCAGTCCTGTTGGACCAAGCCACCGGGCTCCTCCGTCGGGGTTGGTACGCGAGGTTAGACCTCGTGCCCCCTTAGGGTGCGCGTTAGCCGCTCGGGCCAAGTCCTTTCGGACTGTGCCACCGGGCTCTTCCGTCGGGGTTGGTACGCGAGGTCGACCCTCGTGCCCCCTTAGGGTGCGTCCTCCGTCGGGGTTGGTACGCGAGGTCGGACCTCGTGCCCCCTTAGGGTCCGCGGGGGGAAGTCATGAGTGAGCACTCGTTCCCCCATTATTTCATGATTTTTTATATATTTTTTTTTTGGAGAACCAACTTCGTAACAAGGGTCCTACTCACAACGTGTTTCGTGACATGAAACTTTATTCCGCTTATTGTCGTTCACCAAGACATTATTGGGGGAGGGGGTCCCCCTCCTAGAATAGCAATGCCAAGATCCTCCTCTTACGTGGCCGTCCAGGTGTGGACCTGGTGGTCCTTTTGACCAATTTGGCGGCACGCCTTCAAGTAGCAACTGCAGCTCACCTTTTGGTCCCCTCGGGCGACCCCGACCCCGGTCGGTGTCCGGAATTTGAGGCACAGGTGCTCCATGGAAATCACGCACCTGAGGTCCTCTAGGGCGGGTCGGCCGAGAATGATGTTGTGGGCGCAGTTGATTTTGACGACTACGAACTCGACCTCCCACCTCCTGGTGTGAGGTGGGGTGCCTATCTCCGCCTTCAAAGTGATCGACCCCTCTGTCTCGATTGAGTCCCCCGTGAGCCCGGATAGGGGGGTTCGTACCTGCTCCAGCTGCCCTATTGAGAGTCCCAGCAGGGTGAATGTGTCGTGGTACATGACGTTGACCGAGCTACCCGTGTCCACGAGCACCCGGTGCATCACCACGTTGTTGATGTCCAGCTTGACCACCAAGGCGTCCCGGTGGGGGAGGGGCCAGTCAGGTAGGTCGGCATCGGTAAACGTGATGGGCTCCCTCTTTGGTTTCTTCTCGTGGGGTGTTCGTGTGACCTCCCCCACGTACAAGCTTCTCGCCCACCTCTTCCGCTCGGCTGGCGAGTCCCCTCCCTCGGGCCCCCCGAAGATGACGTAGATGGTACGTTTCCTCGGGGGCTGGGAGTCCTCTGTTGTCTTCTCCTCCTCCTCGGAGCTGTTGTCGTAGTGGTCCTTCTTACGGGGAGCCGAGGTGGATGGCGCCTGGCCACCCCCCTTCCTCCATACATTGCCTTGCTTCTGGCCGTGCGCCTGGCCGGGCCTCTTAATGAATTGGCCGAGGTAACCCATTTGGATGAGCTCCTCGATTTGTCTCTTTAAGAGGATGCATTCGTCTGTATCGTGCCCCTTCTGCCGGTGGAACCTGCAGTACTTATTGGGGTCCCCCCTCGCCGATATCTTCATGCACTCCTCCTTCGGAATACCACGATTCCCTGGTCCTCCGCGTGCGCCAAGATGGTACCCACAGGTTGTGTCAACGGGGTGACATAGCGTGTGGGGTTCAACCTGGGCCCCTCAACGTACTCACGTCGGTGTGGCCGTGGCGCCTTGCGCTCCTCCTGGGGCGCCTTGTCTTTTCGACCTCTTCCTTCCTCCTGTTCCTTCTTCCTCTTCTCGGCAGCCTCGGCGTCAGCGTACCTTGCTGCCTTGTCCATCAGGTCGGTATAGGTCCTGGGGGGGGGGGTACCTGATGAGGTCCTGGTGAAAAGCGCCTGACCTCAAGTTGTTTCGGAAAATCACCATGGCCGACTTCCCATCAAAGTCGGCGACCCCCATGGCCTCTTTCTTCCACTTGCTGAGGTACTCGGCCAGTGACTCCGAGCTCCCCTGCTTCAAATCACACAGGTCGGCAATTTGCTTCTTCCGCGGTATGCTGGTGGCGAAATGGGAAAGGAACTGCCGGGTGAGGTCCGCAAAGGTGGAGATGGACCCCGTCGGGAGGGATCCGAACCAATCATGCGCTTGCCCGTCCAGGGTGGCGAAGAACCCCCTACATAGGATGGCGTCTGTTGCCTCGGTGATCATCATGGCGGCCCTGTACCTGGTCAGGTGTGCCCGTGGGTCCGTGGTCCTCGAGTACGCTTTAATGGGGGGAAAGCGAAAATCTCGAGGTAAGGGCTCCTCCATGATGGCGTTTGCGAACGGGGAGGACAACATATCCTGGGGCTCTGGAGATCCGTCCCTCTCATCGATCTTCTTCTGGAGCTCGTCCATCCTCCTCCGCAGCTGCTCGACCTCTACCCGATAGGAGCTCGGAGCTCTACCATTTGTTTCACCCGATCGTTCGACCCGGGAGGCCTGCTCACGTCGCGGGTGGGGTCGGGGGACCCGCCCTGCAGACCCACGCGAAGCTGCCTCGTGTCGCGGCTGGGCGCGTGACCCATAGCTCGGCGACCTCCGAGTGGCCGATTCTTGTCGCAGTGGCAGGCGGGAGCATGATTCCTCCGCCGGTGGCCCGTTTGCTGGCCTCAGACCCAGCCTGTCCCGGGCCGACACGTGATCGCCCAACCTCTCCAGGGCGGGCCTGGTTTGGGTTGGTGCCCTTCCATCGCCGTCGCGCTGGCGGCCTCGGCGGTAGTCCCCTCCTCCCCGCCTCTCCGATGGTCGAGGCGAGTTGACCTCCCCCTGGGTGATAGGTGCCTGGGGTGGCCGGGTGCTTGGACCGCTGCGCCCACGGGTGGGAGGAAGTGGAGGTGACGCCGGCGCCCCTCGGGTGGCGCCTAGGTCGGCTTGTTCCTCTGCCCGAAGGCCCGTCGCGACATGCGCCAGCGCCGTGGAAGCTTGTTCAAAGACCGCCACCCCCTCCTGGATGAGTGCGCGAGCCGGAGCGGGGGCGACAGGGGGTGCTGGTGGCGCACCACTACTATGGTGGTTGGTGAGCTGGGCCCTCAAATCCTCCCCCGACCTAGCGGAGGCGGCTGGTTGGAAGCTGGGGGCGGGGGCCCCGTTGGGGCCGTTCCCGTTCGCGACGAGCTGGGTGCCGCGGGAACCATTGGTATGACGAGAGCTGGATCTCCATCGTGCCATCGCTGTCGATGAACAATAGTGGAGAGAGCGCTTAAGCTTGTACAGCAGCTCTCAACAAGAGCACCAATGATGGAATTAATTAAACCGGATGTCCGACTTAACTAACCCGAATAAGGATACGAATGATATAGTAAAGGCCGTGAGACCGTAGATTGTATTAAATGCTGTAGAATTGGCTATTACAGTAGTATTTTAGGACAAAGTATGTAGGAAAATGTACGTGGCGCCGCCCCGGAACCCGTTCTTGCTTCGCGCCCTCGGGTCGGTTCGGGTCGATTCCCAATATATCCGTCAATTATATTTTGAAAATTTGTTCTTATAGGCATCATTATGATTTTCCATCAAAATGGACGAAAAATAATGATTATTTGAAATAAAAGATTTATTAGTATAGAGATTTAAATTAAGCAATTTTTTTTTTAATGTTATTACATTGTAGTACCTGTTCAAATATACTTTTCACTATATGCTATCTGAGTATAAGATACTTCGCCAATCTTCTTAATTAAATCATGCAATTTAAAAGAAATGAAAAAGAAAAGGAAAAAAAAAAAAAAACCTTAACAAATTTTAGTTAATTAGTTCTCATTCCATATTCAATGCAAGTTAGCAAAACACGCAAAACAAGAGAAACATCGTTAAAATAGTCAATTATGGTGTTCGATGTTGAGTGCCACTGCCAAAAGTTTGTGTAAAAAAACTAAAAATATAATGAGTGTCTCCATGACTCCATCAGAGACTTATTACAAATTTTATTTTAATTATTTACCTACCGAAAGTTGTTAGTAAATCAAATATCTGCACATTTTCGTATTTTATTTGTCTTATAGTGTTTCGATATTCTGGCTGTCAGGTATTAATTATGTGTTCTTATCATAATTTATTAATTAAGTACTAACTAAATTGTGTGTGCGGACAATTTTTTAATTATGTTTCATATAGCTTATTTTAATCTAGCAATATGTTATAAGTTTTATTTGGTAAAACTGTAAAAGTGATGTAGTTTTTTAAAAGGGTTTATATTTGATGCACCACTGATGTATAAATGCTATACACCAACAATGAATGAGAAGATGTCATATCATTAAAAAAATAAAGTCAATATTGACTGTCTCCTTTTTTTACAAAATATTTAAGACTTATATTTTATTATGAAACTCTTTTATTTTTAATTAACAAAATATATCTACTTTCCTAAACGTATTTATTACTTAATTATTATGTGTGTGTATGAGTGATTTATCTTTCGACATTTATCAACCTTGATAACAATTAATTTACAAAACACTTATAATTCAAATAAGTTAACTTATCAGTTTTCAATATTTAATTTTAGTTACATTTGCTAAATAAAGCCTTAGTTAAATTGACTGTTACAAATAGATTTAGATGACATTTGTTGCCATCATTTAAATCGAAGGCATTTGATGCTACAAGATAATATTCTCAACAACTCTATTCTTGGCTCCTTCCAATAATTGAAGGACTAATTTCATACTATAAATATGAATATATGATTGAGAAATTAAAAGTATGGAAAATGATACATTTTCTCCTGAGTTATATATATAGAGCACTTTTCTCCCTAAATTATTCAGGTAAGCATATTAGTCCCTCAATTATTCTAAAAATTGTGATTTTCTCCCCTGATATATTAAATGGACATTTCTACCCTTAAAGTAAAAATTATTCAGGTAAGCATATTAGTCCCTCAATTAAACAAATTATTGCGTATACGTAGGGATGACCACGGTTCAGTCCGAACTGAACCGGACACTATAGCAATCGAATTAAAAGTTTCGGTTATGATTCAGATCCAGAACCCAATATTTGGATTCCAGTTTATTGGACACTATAGCAATCGAATTAAAAGTTTCGGTTATGATTCAGATCCAGAACCCAATATTTGGATTCCAGTTTATTAAAATTATGAATTGAAAAAACTGGATCCTAAACCGTGAACTGGTGGTTCCGGATCCGGCTCGCAATTTTTAACCGTCTTTATTTTAAAAATTTATTTTTTAATTTTAAAATAGTCTAAATTCAACAATAAATGTATTTTATTTTTTTTAGTTCGGAACATGAATCGATTGTTCCGGTTCGCGATTGTAATAAACTCAAAATATCGGGTTTCGATTCTAAATTGTAATTGAAATATTTTGGTCGGGTTGCTATAGTGTCTGTTTGGTTTGAATCAAATTGTGATCATAATTTGTTGGAGAAGGAAAATAAATAAAATATTTATTTCAAATATTTATTTTAAAGGTAAATATGTCTATTTAACATTTCTGGAGAAAATAACCACTTAAATAATTTAAGGGAGAAAGTGTTATAAGTATATAACTCAGAAGAAAAAAATGTTATTTTCCCTTAAAATATTATCATTTTAAAATACTAATTAAATCTGACATGTAATTGTTAGTTGGTTGTTGGGGAAAGTGTTATTAATTCAGCTTGCTGTATGCATAAATACATAATGCGTGTCCACCACGTACTCACCACCATAATTGTTCATCCGTAATCGTCAAAATAGTCATCAACTTCTTCACATAATTACAACTTAATTAAAAGTTACCACAAATTTTGAAAAGAAAAAAAATAAAAATATTTTACCAAATAAAAAAGGAATAAGGGTCAAATAGGCCATCGAACTGCACACAATAAAACAATTAGGCCATTGAACTTAAAAAACCAACAATTAGGTCCCTAAACTAATCAATTTCAAACAATTCTTCCAAATTGAAGGTTTCCAACAGGTCAACAGGTCATCTCCCAAATTAATTATTTTAAAAAAAATATAAATTTTAAAAATTAATTATTTATAAATTAAAAAAAAAAAAAAAAAAAAAAAAAAAAAAAAAAACTGGAATCCAACCGGAGACGGTTGAACCAGTTTTTTTTTTTTTTTTTTTTTTTTTTTTTTTTTTTTAATAATTTAAATAATTAGTTTTTAAAATTTAAATTTTAAAAAATAATTAATTTGGAAGGATGACCTGTTGACCTGTTGGAAACCTTCAAATTGAAAGAATTGTTTGAAATTGATTAGTTTAGGGACCCAATTGTTGGTTTTTTAAGTTCAGTGGCCTAATTGTTTTATTTTGTGCAGTTCGATGGCCTATTTGACCCTTATTCCAATAAAAAAATCTGATCCATTTGGAAGCATGAAAAATAATTTCTGGAAGTTTTTTTTATTCATTCTGATAAACAAAAAAGTGTCATATTTGACGAAAAATGTCTTCTTAAATTTTTAATCGAAAGATATTTTTTAAATTATTTATTTTTCTGTTTTCTCTTATCTCTCATAATAATAATAATAATAATAATAATAATAATAATAATAATAATAATAATAATAATAATAATAATAATAATAATAATAATATTATTATTATTATTATTATTATTATTATTATTCTTATTCTTATTATTATTATTATTTACAGTGAAATGAACCACAAAATAAAAAAATAGTTTTATAAACTTCAGTAAAAGACCGGAAATTAAAATATTTTTCAGAAGTGAGTCATTGTTTGGAAATCATTTTCCTGAAAATATTTTTCAAGTTTTCAAATGGACCCTTAATAAAATAACCCCAACCAAGTTAGTGAAGCTATTGGCTTTGATAACCACAAAGTTCTAAGTTCGACTTCTCAAGGGAGTGACCTATTGTTCTTCTTAGTTAAGATGGTCAGTTTGGGCAGGGACGAAGCCAGGATTATATGATTCGGGGGGCCAATCACGATTTAAGACTGAACAACTAAATACATTAATATTCATTTAATATATACCAACATAGATCATTACATTACAAATATACTAAAATTTAGAACGTCTCTCTTGCATATCACGAAAATCATCTATAATTGAATCTATACTAAATTGTTTTGCAATTTGCTTTTCAATGTACACTAACAAACAATCATTAAGAAATTGATCATCCATCTTGTTACGAAGTGTAGTCTTGACTATTTTCATGGCAAAAAAAGATCGTTCGGTAGTAGCTGTAGATACGGGAAGCGTGAGAATGAGAGCTATTATTCTGAACACAAGAGGATATATGTCCAATTTTCTAGTTTTCACCATCCATTGACAGAGATCAGAAATACTTTATAGTTCTCTAAAATCAGGAAGTTGTTGCACATGTTCAAAATGTTCAAGTAGCATTCTTAATTGCAAAATCTCATAATCTGCAAAGTCTTGTGGGTAAAACTTCTCTACCAACTTGCAAATGTCATCAATTCTGAATGATATACGCATTTCTTTTGGATCAAGGGATGAACTCAGAACAATTAACTCCATTGCTTTTATCATCAAACCTATTGTTCAACTCTTGCAACTGAGAATCAATCACCGCATTAAAAATATCAACTTTGTAATGATGTCCAACTGTTAATTCATCTTGTTGATTCCTAGCCCTTCCTCTTCTTGCAATATATTGAGCATCAAAATCTGGCACACTTATATTGACTTTTTCACAAAAAGACTTCACAGTTGAAACTAATTCATCCCATCCATTATCTCTTAATTTTTGAATAAGCAATTTAGTAGATGTCACAAGATGCATTGCATTCAATATATCTTGAGATTGGATTTGCAAAGCTTGACAAAGCATATTAGAAATCTCTAAAACTTTTCTCATGAGGTGCATAATGAATACAAATTCAAAAGAAGTCATTACCTCATAAGCTGCATCGGTATCTCCACGGTGAGTAGGTGTAGTTCCATCTTCAATAATATTAAGTAAAACTTCACATGTTGCACTAAACATTCTCATCAAACTTGATATGGATTTCAAATGAGAACTCCAACGAGTATCACCGGGCCTTTGTAAAGAACCAATTTGATTAAGACTCCTCCCACTTTCAAGCTCTTCGATATTAAGCAAATGAGCAATATTTGAGGCATGAGCAGCTTTCAACTGGTCATTGCGCTTACATGAAGCTCCAACAACATTAATAATGGAGTTCAACTTAGTGAAAAAGTGATCGACATGGATGACTTCTTTTGATGAAGCTACTAATGCCAATTGCAATCGATGCGCAAAACAATGAACATAATAAGCATAAGGACATTTATCCAAGATTAAAGCTTTCAATCCATTCCACTCTCCACGCATGTTACTTGCACTATCATAACCTTGTCCTCGAATATTATGACGAGATAAGATAGAAAAGATATCTTCTTTCAATGTTGATGCAATAGTGTCCTTAACATGAACAACTCCAAAGAATCGCTCTTGTATAAAGCCATCTCTATCAACAAATCTCAAGACAATTGACATTTGTTCCTTCTTTGATTCATCTCGAGCTTCATCAACAATGATACAAAATTTTGCATCACCAATTTCTTCTCAGATAGCGCTTTTTTACTTTAGTTGCCAACACTTGCAAAATTTGTTTTTGTATTGTTGGTGATGTATATGTTGCATTTCGTGGAGCTTTATCAAGAACTTTTGTTACTTCATCATTAAAAGAGGCAATGAAACTCAATAACTCTAAAAAGTTTCTACGATTTGTTGATGTTATTAACTCATCATCACCTCTAAAAGAACATCCTTGAAATGCAAGCCATCTCGTTGCCTCTATTGAAGTTCTCAAATGAAGTCTATTTTCAACTACTTCTTCAGATGTGAATTTCTCAATATGTTGTGCAATATGTGATTGTTGGTTCATGAGATCTGCGCAAGCTTTCTCAGCATTTCGATGAGGAGAGGTGAGATCTTTTCCAATATGTGCTAAAAATGAGCAATTTTTTCCATCTCTAACTTTCTTCCATGAACGAAAACCATTGGTAGTAAAAGCATGCAATCCGGAAGGCCCATCTTGAGTATGAAATAAATAACATGGTAGACAAAATGCTACATCTTTACTAAGAGAATATTCTAACCAAGAAGGGAATAATTTAAACCAAGATGCTTGAAAACTACGAGGATGCTTTTCTCCAGATTTTGGATACTTTGAAAGCAAACATTGATATGGGCAGACCTTGATATAAGCTCTCCTAACTTCATCACGTTTGTCAACGGGGCACATCCATATTGGTAGTCGCAATCCCGGATCACGTTCTAATGCTTGAATGTCTACCTTCTCATTTATTTCAATTCTTTGAGATTTTTCAGGACGACTTTCAGAATTCAATTGATCAACACTTGTAGATGGATTTACTTGAGATGATGAATCTTCAGAATTCTTTCTTTTAAAAAAAGTATCAATTTTTTGTGTCCTTTTCATTATAGCTCAATCTTCAATTCCTATGTTCACAATTAATCACAATATTAATATTTTGGTAAGTAAATTAAATATTTAAACTAACCAAGTCAATTCAACATTTAAACATATAAGTAATGACATAAAACAAATGAGGACAAAACACTTTAAGACTAATATGATACAAATATACAATATTTAATTTCATTAGTATAGTATATTCATTCAATTCATTTATTTAAATTATGTCTTCCACAAGGACCACAACATTACTTTTTCTTTAATTTCTTTCTTCTCACTTCTGTTTTACATTTTTGAATTGTTTTCTTTTTTTTTTTTGCCAACCAAATTAAATTCATTTTTGTTGTTTGAAATTATTATATTGTATTAGTATATAGACTAACGCACTCAGCTATTTAATATGAATTCTCAATGTGTTTCTCAACCTTTCCTACTCGACTAGTTTGATGTTAGCCATTAATTGAAGAAAACTAAAAGCATAAACTTAAAGAAAATAAACTTTGAACATTGGAGTTAATAATAAATGTACTCTTCCACAAAATATATAATAATACAAATTTACAAAGTAATTATTTAAAGCTTCAAAACAAATGAAAAAAAAAATTACCATATTCATTGTTGAAGAGAAGAAGAATAGTTGATTGAGGAAGATGAAACCGAAAGCTAAGAGTGGAAGAATGGAAGACAACATTTGTTGGGGCCTTGGGGGTTTCAGAAGAAAAAATATTTGTTTTGTGAGGCTCAATGGTACTACACTACTATACTAGGCTATTACTACTCTACTAGACTAGGAGGGGCCAAATATATATATATATATATATATATATATATATATATATATATATATATATATATATATATATTAATACTATTTTTTTGGGGGGTGGGGGTGGGGGGGGGGGGGTAAGGCCCCCTACACATAGTACATAGTTCCGTCCTTGAGTTTGGGGCAACGTACCCAGTGCACACCTGGATTGTGGCTACGAGTTTCTCTCGTCACCCAACAAAACTCACTTAAAATGTTTTCCAGTATTATATCTTTTTTCAATACTACTGACTATATTACAATATAGTATCTGTCCATACATACTTTATCAACCTATTGAAGTACAAAGAGTCAATGCCCTCACTGGAGTTCGAACATGTGACCTCCCATTTGAGAGAGAGCCACAGATATACCATTTGTTTTCTTAATTATAATATTTTTATTGTGATTTCGGCCTACTCTAGCTCTCCTTCCCGGGATGGTAACGCTTTAATTGCAAGTTGTATGCCTAGGTAGTGATATATCTGAATGTAAAGAATGATATGCAAAATGCAAAATGAAAAAGCTCAGAGAGAGAGAGAAAGAGAATACACCATCCAAATTTTCATTCATTCATTCTCTGCTCTATCTCTGAATACAACCATAATTCCTTTACATTCACTAGGAAATAGGGGAAAACTATATTTAGTGGGATAATGGCCACTAACTACAATAAATATATACTCGTAATTATTTATAACACTTCCCCTTGGCCATTATCAAATCATACTCAGACCTCGTTAAAAATCCTGCTAGAAAAACCCTGTGAGAAAAACGTAGTTAAGGAAAAGAATACACAGAGTATGTAACATAATATGTTACACCAATTGCCTCATTAAAAACCTTTTGCCTAAGAAAAAAACTCAATGGAAGAAAAACTGAGCTAAAGGAAAAAGAGTACAACTATAAGCCTTTAGGGCATACTTTTCAGGATTTTCATGTATGTATATTCATGAGTGCCTAGATGTTGTCGCTCCCATGAAGACAATAGCCTTCCAAGCTTACGCATTCCAATTTTGTGAACATATTTTTCGAAAGTTGACGTAGGCAGGGATTTAGTGAACAAATCTGCCAGATTATCACTAGAGCGAATCTTTTCAACAATGATTTCACCACTCTTTTGGAGTTCATGCGTGTAAAAGAACTTAGGCGCAATGTGTTTACTCATTTGTGCAACACATGCAACATTGTCCTCATACAGGACAGTGGGGTTGTCAACTCCGTTCGCTATACCACACGAACTATGGATATGATGTATCAACCACGAATTATGGATATGATGTATCAACGAACTCAGCCATACACATCCTCGCGAGGCCTTATATAAAGCAATGATTTCTGAGTGATTAGATGAGGTAGCAACTAGGGTCTTCTTAATTGACCTCCAACATATAGTTGTACCTCCACAAAGGAAAACATAACTAGTATGTGATTTGGCATTTTGAGGGTCAGACATATAGCTGATGGACAATTTTAATGTGTCCTCGCAAGTGCACGAGTCAGTTGAAGTAATAGTGTGCTAAGGGCAAGAGTCGAACCCACAAGGAATTGATACTAAGCAATTTAAATAACTTAAAATTAAAATTACTTAAAACGAAAATGCTCAGAATAAACGAAGGCTAATATAAATGCCAAAATAATTAAACCACAACTAAAAGATGCTAAGCAAGTAATTATCATTCAAAATGGAAAAGCCCAAGGTCGTGAATGAATAACCATTACTATTCTGCATTTTAAACTCTAATAAGTATTAGAGCCCAGATGAAACAACAAGATTCCCTATGTAGACAAGTCAAAGTGGAAATCTTGATTTTATAAACTAAAATAAAATAACAATATAAAAATGCCAATGAATTCTAAAACTTGAAGTTTGCAAAATGCTAAAATCAATTACAATTAGCAAAGTACTACTGAACTGTAAAATATTTAGGCGAATCCAATAAAACAAAGAATTAACAAATTAAAGAACAGGTAGAAATTCTTATGCCAAGATGCTGCCAAAATTGAATTAACGCCGACCGAGATGACAAAGTCGTTGCCGGAAATAATTTGTCGTCCAGATTAGCCCTGACCACGGCCGGAAATTCAAAGCTGCTGGAAACTAATTCTCCCCCTCCGGAATTGGTCCGGGACCAATTGATCTTTGCTTTTATCGCCTCCGGAATTGATCCGGGGTGAATTGATTTTCTTCTTCAGAATCTCCATCTATTTATATTGCCTCAGCTCGCGATGTTCAAGACTGACTTTTTCCTCTACCATTAGAGTCGCTCGCAATGTCCGAATGAAACTCCGATCAGAACTCTGCGATCCATCAATTTCTCTTCGTCTACTCTTCCTCGACCCGTTCGTAGCATGCTGGACATGAGCTTATTTTGTGAAATGGGATTAGCTTGTTTGGGTCAAGACTCAAGATAATGGGCCTGTTAAAATAATATTACTATTCCGTAATATGGATAAAGAAACCCAAAATACTAAAAGTAATAATAAAAAGCCTATTACCTTATTTATTTAAGAATAACTAAAAACAAACATTAATAATAAAAAACATATACATCTTCTATTATATTAAAGCAGAACCCTATGGTTCCCGCCTAATTGTTGTTCAGATTGGCGCAATAAGGAACAATTTCGGATTTGTCTACTAATTATAGTTATTCATAATAAACAAATATAATTAATGCGCCGTTTCAAAATACGATCAGTCCTAATTGATACAGTCTTCTACTTTGCCGATGGTAGTAGAACTCTAGAACTCTAGAACTAATAGAATACAAATAATACAAAAAGGCGCAACACAATATTAATTACATTGTTGTTACAATAGTTAATATTTAATATATTATATTAAAAATCTAAAAGGGCATAACAATGGTGTTAAATACTCAATAGGGATTTAAAAACTAGCTTCATATCTCCGATGCAACGTATCAGATGACGACCTTGAGTATCCTACGCATCTGATCCTCAACCACTATATAAATAAGGCCGGTAATAGACAAAGGCCTATGCATTTATCCGCACGTTGCTGAACAACAAATCCCTTCCAAAAATATCTCTCATACATCATGTACCCAATGGTTATTCTCTTAGGAATTTGCCGAGAGTGATGAAGGGAAAAGTCCTCTTGCGGTTGGTGTTGCTGGCAACCAAGATGCTGTGCGTGATAATTTAGTTGTAAAGAGAAGCCTTCTGGATGAGTTCTAATCAACACAAACTTCAAAGGACAAAGTCATTCTCAATGTTAAGCTTGAAGGAGTAAAGTGAGTTCTCTTAATTTAGTCTTTTTTTTAAAAAAAAAAAAAAAAAAAAAAAAAAGCTATATTGTACTCAGAAAATATTTGAGCTGTTTTGAAAAAAATGATGCATCAAACTGTATTATCATCATTTGCAAGCAGTGAATGTTAATTATATTTAATTTGAAAATTAAATAAATGAACAAAAATCAATCAGAAAATATTACAGACTGAACTTGAGTAATAAAAGCCTAATGATGTACTTGGTGTCCATATTTGCAGTGATCCAGAATGAAGGATAAGTTTTGATCTTACCTTGAAAGATTGTTTTCTTGGATATAGGTATAAGTTTACACGCCTGCAGGTAATAAGCTTAAATCTTATTACACAGCCTTACTGTCAAGGTTAGTCTGATAGCTCTTATAAAATTATTTGTAAGGAAATTCATATATATCTATTTATTACTGTATATGAAATATTAAAAATCTAGGAACACATGCAGTGTGGAGTAATACTTGATGCCTTCTTCCAATACTTCAAATCTGCCCATAATTGAGGTTAATGATAATACATAAAAAACGCAATTTACAAAATCAGCTGTGATAGGAAGGAAAAGGAAATAACCTTCAGAACAATGGTACCAACTCTTCATCTTTTCTTTAATATTAGGGACCGATGTGTACAGTTTATCATTTTGCATATATGTTATTGTTAAATACATGTAATACGAATCCAACCAGAAGGCTGATGTTACTGTAAACCATACGTCTCATATGCCTGCGAACACAACAACAACAAACTGTTATATGGATTACCCTCTTCAGAAACCAAAACCATAGAGGTATGTATATATGCACTATTAATTTCTAAAAATATTTCTTAATGCATATGTGTTGCACCAACAGTAGGTCTTTCACATCTTTGAAAGAAAACCCAGATTTGTTATTGTATGGTTGTGGGTTGCTCACAGACAATGGAAGTAACATAGATCAAGGTAAAGAGTTATAGTTTTTGTTGTTAAGAATATAAATGTAATGTAATCCTAATTTTACATCAGAATAAAACTGCTGGTTACAATATTTTGTTTGTTTTAATATTTAGATGCATTGTAGTTTCACACTTAGTTACAAATGTTTGTATTTTTTACTGTACTACATTAAATTTGTAAGTGTAATTAACTATCCTCCTCAACATTACCTCCCATAGCATTAATTTTTAGAACTTGGGTAAAACTTACTTCAAATACAATGTAAAGAACATAATTTAACTGGATCTTGGTTTCACAGAAATGAATTGTTTGGTTTCAAAGTATGCTAAAGTATGCTACCCAAATTTAAGGACAAGACATTGTAGGTAATTATAGCAAGGCATTGCAATCTGGATATTCACAAGTGGCAAGGAATACAGAGCTGGAAATCAAGTAAACAGATGCAACATGGGTGGTTTATTTAGCTGTACTTATAACAAAAAATGAATACATTTCAAGTCAGAACATTGTTCATGTATTTCAAATCTCTGAATATCAAAATTTCACAATGTGAAATTTAACTTTGTGATTCAAAAGGCATAGTAAAAACAGTATATTAACTCTAATTTACGTATTAATAACTTACCTAATTGCAATAAATGAAAACTTACTTTTGCAGTGTAAGAATTCCCTTTACAGTTATTTCCTGCAATAGTTCACTCAAAACAATAATTAAGCTCTATAGGACAAAACAAAATACTAACTACATACCATCAAATTAAAGTTAAAAAATCAAAAAAAAAATTGAAAACTTACTTTTGCAGTGTAAGAATTCCCTTTACGGTTATTTCCTGCAATAGTTCACTCAAAACAATAATTAAGCTCTATAGGACAAATCAAAATACTAACTACATACCATCAAACTATAAAAGGAGCATTGAGGTTAATGATAATACATAAAAAAACACAATTTACAAAATCAGCTGTGATAGGAAGGAAAAGGAAACAACTTACAGAACAATGGTACCAACTCTTTAATATTAGGGACCGATGTGTACAGTTTATCATTTTACATATATGTTATTGTTAAATACATGTAATACGAATCCAACCAGAAGGCTGATGTTACTATAAACCATACGTCTCATATGCCTGCGAACACAACAACAAACTGTTATATGGATTACCCTCTTCAGAAACCAAAACCATAGAGCACTGCATAGATAACATAGCAATGAATCACAAAACAACGTATAAGGCAAACTAAAATGTTTAGATACAGGGCAAAAAATCTAGAAAAATCGTGTTATATAAGGGGTAGTAAGCAGAGAAATACACAAAGACATAGCATACCTACTGTAAACACAAATTAAGATGGGTCTTAGTAATAGCCTACATGTTCAGAATAGAGATGAAATTTTTTTGAATCAAGGAACAGAATCATTTAAACCCATTTGTTAAATAGAAAGTTTACTTATAAAAAAAAATTCAAACAACAAAATGAAAGTATTTTGCTTCAAATTTGACTTTAGAACTGCTAATCCACCCAATAGATTACAAGATAATGCAGATACTAACATAAGAATACAAAATTTGATGTAAAAACCGTCATGCATGTGATCTAGAATGAAGGATTTCATCAAATATATACTTTAATGCGACTTAGTAAGTAAACAAACCCTTAATAGTTAGGGTTCACTGTATCTACTCAATTTCTTAAGAATTGTACGATAAAATTGAAATTAAGTGAGAGATATACTAGAAAACTTACCAGAATAGGAAATTTAACTATGAAATTGACAAATACGGCTAGAATGTACAGATCTAAAATGGGGATTGTAGAAATAGACAAAGTAGGCCATACGGACATAAAATCGCTAAGAAGAAGAACCCGCCATAGGATCATCTACCAGCTGAAGTATACAAACGAATTTGCTAGGTAAAATAGTAGATGGTATGACCTTGTGTAGAACCTCTAGCACACCGAAGAAGACATCGAGAAAGTTCTGGAAATGGAGTCAGTAGCCGTGTAAAATTGCCAATTTAGATATTAGAGGACTGTGAGGGTATTTTCGTAAATTTGATTTACTAAGCAATAATAATGTTAAATTATTTGTGTGTTAATTAATATATTAATAACTATATTATGTGTGTAAATTTCCATAACAAGCAATAATAATATTATTCTATTATTAGTGTGTTAATATATTAATATTAATACTATGTTCAAATTAATATTTTGAACAAATTAGTATACTATGTTTAATATATTAATATTAATAGTATATAAGTAGTAGATACGTGGACTAAGCTATATAATAATAATAATAATAATAATAATAATAATAATAATAATAATAATAATAATAATAATAATAATAATAATAATAATAATAATAATAATAATAATAATAATAATAATAATAATAATAATAATAATAATTATTATTATTATTATTATTATTATTATTATTATTATTATTATTATTATTATTATTATTATTATTATTATTATTATATCAATATATTAGGATTAATAATAATATTAATATATTTTCTTAAAACGAATTATGTATTTTTTTTTTTTAGAAGAGACGGCCATGTGCAGTATTTGTACGCACCGCAGTTAAAACGGCGTCGTTTCTTTAAGTAAAGAAACGGCGCGCCGTTACTTTTAACGGAGCGCCGTTACTTTTAACGGAGCGCACATTTTGTATATGTTAATAACCAACTGACACTACAGTATATCTAAACCGACATTGCCTCACGTATTATTTTTATATTATCAAATGAAACTTCAGTTATATCAAAATGATACTGTAGTTGTGGTGAAATGAAACTGCAGTGTATATAAAATGAAACTGAATAACATTTCACATATTTCAGTGTATATTGTACAATGGAGCTGTAATTATATCAAAATGATCATGTAGTTGTGTTTTAATAAAACTAGAGTGTATATAAAATAAAATTAAATAACATTTTCACATATTTGAGTCTATAAATACCAAATGAAACTGTAGTTATATGGAAATGAAACTGTAGTTGTGTTGAACCGAAACTACAGTGTATACAAAATGAAACTGAATAACAGAATTACTTTTTGCGGAAGAGTGCGGAACGGCGGGAAACATATGTCATTTCTTTTCATTAAACAAAACAATGTTGTTTTGATCCGCGATACATAATCGATTATGCATCGCGGTGCACGATATAATTTGATGTATTTGTTATACTAATTTGATTTCTATGTGATACTTTAGTAGAACTTATGCATTTTTATCTTTTAAGTAAAACTTTCTCATAAACGATTCTTATGTTAATATTCAATTAACTTAACTTAATAGTCTATAAATATTATCCGTGCATCGCACGGGACAATTACTAGTTAACTAATAAAACACTACTTATTAATTATAAAAAGTTAAACTAAATTAATAAAAATAATACTTATCAATAGCCAACATCTTACTAACCAACCAATGAGGTATCCTGATTACTCTCAAAACTAGAGACCGGGGTCTTTTGTACCTTGGAGATATCTAAGGATATGCTTTACCCCTTTCCAATGTCTTCGGATTGGGGAGGCACTAAATCCAGCAAGTAAATTTACTGTAAAAGCAATATCTAGTCTAGTGCAGTTAGCTAGATAGAGTAAAACACCTATAGCACTTAAATATTATACTTCAGGTCCTAGCACATCCTCACCCTCCTCTTTAGGCCAAAATGGGTCTTTGTCCATTTCAAGGGACCGAACCACCATTGGAGTTACTAAGGGGATGTGATTTATCCATATAAAATTTCTCCAAGAGTTTATTTGTATAATTTGACTGGTGTACAAAAATTTCATTAGGGAGATGCTCGATCTACAGGCCGAGACAAAACTTGGTCTTTCCCTAGTCTTTCATTTCAAATTCCAATTTTAAGCATGAACATGCTTCCACAAGATCCTTGTGTGTCCCAACAATGTTTATGTCATCAACATAGATAGAGATAATGCAAAATCTATGAGATGACTTCTTAATGAAGATACACGAGCAAATATCTTTATTTACATATCCCTTCATCAGGAGGAATTCACTTAATCGATTATACCACATTCTGCCTGATTGCTTCAACCATATAATGATTTATAAAGTTTGATACTATACATGTTAGGATCCCTTTTCTCCCTCACAATTGGGTTTTCTATGCCTTCGAGTATTCTCATGTATATATCAACATCTACTGACCCATTTAGATACGCGATCACTACATCCATCAACTGCCTATCTAGATTCAGTTTTATTGCCAGTGAGATTAAATAACGGAACGATGTGCCATCAATGACAGGAGAATATGTATGCTCACAATTAATTTCGGGCCTCTACGTAAACCCTTGAGTAACCAATCTCGCTTGATATCTAACCACCTCATTGTTTTCATTCCTCTTCCGTATGAACACCCACTTGGATCCTACTGGGATCACACCTCTCGGGTTAAGCACGATGGGACCGAACACTTTGCTTTTATTAAGTGAGTTAAGCTCTACCTCAATTGGCTCTTTCCATTTTGACCAGTCAAGGCGCTTCTAGCACTCTATTATTGATTTTGGTTCTAGATCAAGATTATCACGTGATATATTAGAGGCAATCGCCAGGTAAATGTGTCGTCGATGACTGCCAAATCTCTGTTATGAGTTTCTCCTATATTAACAAAGTTTATGGCAGTTTCTATATTTACATAAACCAAATCATTGTCATTTCGCATAATATTCTGATCTGGATGCTCCGTCTCCCCAGTGTTAGTATTACATGGAGCACGTGCATGTTCACTGTGTGCTCCGTCTTCAGGACGGTTAAAAGCTTTTTGGAGCGACTGAGACATTTTACTTATTCTAGTTTTTCGTGGATTTAAATCTTTTTCACCGACTGGTCTACCATGCTTCTGGCGATGAGAAGTGTCAGCGAGTACACTCGGTACCCCGGGGACATCAACTCTCAAAGGAGTATTCTCAACAGGAATGTGGGATCTAGTCACTCCTCTATAATCAGTGAAAGAATATGGCAGGCAATTTTCTAAATTCTGCAAATTAATAATCTTCTAAACTTCCAGTTCAATTTGACTAGTACGTGGATCTAGATAGTGAAGATCTTTTTAATCCCATGAAATTTCTCGACATTTTGTTAAATATGTACTTTTATCTCCCCCTAATATTGGGAAATGATCATCATAAAAAAATGCAGTCAGCATACCTCACAGTAAACTAATCTTATGTCATGGGCTCTAGGTATTTAATGATAGGGGGACATTCATAACCAACATAAATACCCAGCCTTCATTGCTGGCCCATGGAGGTACGATGTGTAGGTGGTATTGGGATGTAAACTACACAACTATAAACACGCAGATGGGAAATGTTTGGTTCAATGCCACGTACAACTTGTAAGGGGGAATACTCATGATATGCACTTGGTTGAAGTTGAGTTAAAGCTTCAGCATGCAATACTGCGTGTCCCCAACAAGAAACTGGTAAGCTGGACTTCTGTAATAATGGTCTAGCAATCAATTAAATATGCTTAATTAAAGATTCGGCTAGACCATTCTGAGTATGGACATAAGGTAAAAGATGCTCCACTTTGATTCCCAAAGCCCACTATCGGTACCTCGCCACGGGCAATCGTTGTGATATTACTATCCATCTTGGTCAGGGTATGGAAAAACCTTCCA